ATGCACCCCCTGGAAGCAACAACTGCAAAACCGGAAGTGCTCTTCCAATTTCACTGCTGGCTCAGCAATCGGCCACTGGGGGACCCCCCTCTGCCAGTGATCTGGTGCCCACCCCCCAGACTCAGGAGGAACCAGTCGCCCATGCCAGTATACACTCAGAGTTGCTTCACATAATGGGCCATGTGTGTGAATGTGGCCTCCTTATAGTTTCATAGTTGGTAGGGTTGGAAGGGACCTGAGCAGATCATCAAGTCCAACCCCCTGCCATGGAAGGAAAAAGTACTAAGGTCAAATGACCCCAGCAAGGTGTTCATCTAGCCTCCTCTTAAAGACCCCCAGGGTACGAGCCAGCATCACTTCCCTTAGAAGTTGGTTCCAGATCCTAGCCACCCTGACCATGAAGTAGCACCTCCTGATGTCTAGCCTAAATCTACCCTCTGCCAGCTTGTGACCGTTATTCCTAGTCATTCCTGGTAGTGCTTAGGAGAACAGGGACTCCCCCAATGCCTGCTGGTCCCCTCTGACTAGTTGTAACAGCCCACTAAATCCCCCCTCAGCCTTCTCTTGTGCACGCTGAACAAGTTCAGGTCCCTGAGGCTCTCCTCAAAGGGCCTGCCTTGCTGCCCCCTGATCATGCAAGTGGCCCTCCTCTGGACCCTCTCCAAGTTGTCCACATCCCTCTTGAAGTGCAGTGCCCAGAACTGGACACAGTACTCCAGCTGCGTCCTGACCAGTGTCGCATAGAGGGGGAGGATCACCTCCTTGGACCTGCTCAAGATGCATCTGTGGATGCATGACATGGTACAGTTGTCCTTCCTTACCATATCCCCACACTGTCAGTCCATGTTCATTTTGGCATCAATAATAACACCAAGATCCTTTTCTGCCTCTGCACTGACAAGAAGGGAGTTCCCCAGCCTGTAGGTATGGTGCTGGTTCTTCCTCCCCAGGTGCAGCACCTTGCACTTGTCAGTGTTGAATCCCATCCTGTTCTCATCTGCCCACCCCTGTAACCTGTCTAGGTCTGATTGCAGCCTATTCCTCCCTTCTAGCATGCCCATGTCCCCCACATCTTAGTGTCATCTGCAAATTTGAACAGGGTGCTTTCTACCCCACCGTCCAAGTCACTGATGAAGATGTTGAACACTGTGGGCCCAAGAACTGAGCCCTGTGGAACCCCCCACTGCCCACATCCCTCCAGGTCAAATAGGACCCGTCTACCACCACTCTCTGGGTGTAGCCTTCCAGCCAGTTAGTGACCCATGTGACTGTGTAGGTGTCGACACCACAGTCCGCCAGTTTTTTAATGAGAATGGGGTGAGAGACAGTGTTGAAGGCCTTCCTAAAGTCCAGAAAGACTATGTCCACTGAGATACCTGCATCTAAGGATTTTGTGACCTGGTCTTGGAAGGCCACCAGGTTGGTCTGACAGGACCTGCCTCTAATGAACCCATGTTGGTTGCCCCTAAGGATAATCTCCCCCCCGGCCCCTCACAGACATGCGCCAGGTTAACTCTCTCAAAAAGCTTACCCAGGACTGAGGTAAGACTAACTGGCCTATAGTTTCCTGGGTCCTCCTTCCTCCCTTTTTTGAAACTGGGAACCACATTGGCCTTTTTCCAGTCCCCTGGCACCATGCCAGAGCACCATGAGTGCTTATAAAGCTGTGCCAGGGGTCCCGCAACGACCTCAGCTAATTCCCTCAGCACTTTGGGGTGGAGATCATCAGGACCTGCTGATTTAAATACATCCAGTCCCTCCAGAAGTTCCCTAACTAGTTCCTCACTGACCCTAGGCCTAGGTGAGCCTCCCCTGGGGCCTATGGGGGTCCCGGTGGGGGGGGGTGACCCAGTCCCTGCTCAGAAAAATGGAGGCAAAAAAAATGTTAAATAGGTTAGCTTTGCTGTCTGTGACGACCAGATTTCCTAGCGTGTCCTGCAGAGGCCCCACATTACCTGGTACCTTCTTTTTGCCCCCTATGTATTTAGAAAAGGACTTCTTGTTGTCCTTGATCTAGGTAGCTAGTCCCAGTTCCATCTCTGCCTCGGCCTTCCTGACCGCCCCCCTGCAGCCACAAGCAACAGATGTATAGTCCTTCCTGGTGATGGCCCCTCCCTTCCATTGGGTGTATGCCTCCTTTTTAGCTAG